AAAATAGAAAACATGCATATTAGGGAAGAATTTTCTCTTGAGATGTTTGCCTGTTACACTAGCTTTCTGTATGCAGGGGGCTTTTGATCATATTTTCAATTCCCTAGCCTCTTAGCTACAGCCGGAACTCTGTATAATCATTTCATAATAATGCAGTTATGGACCCCATCATCTTCTTGGTTCAAAGGAAGTGTTAAAAAGATGAGTACATTGTGATAATTATTCACAAGATGTTTTGTTGGAGCCGTAGTTGTGAAACTGCACGTTGGCAAAACTGAATAATAAAAAGGCCTGTTCATTTACAGAAGATTAACTTCTATAGAATAGAGTCACAGATGCTTATCTCTCAGCAATTTTGAACAGAGAATTCAACGAGACTCTTACAGCTTTGGGATTAGGAAAATGTAGCTTATTTTGCATTCTTTCCTTAGTATCCCTGAATCATTTATGTGTTTAGACAGGCATGGAGGGTGGTTCTCTAATGCTGGAGGCAGTCTTAGAATAGCAGCCAGGTCTATGACAAGTATTGTCCAAGGTGATTGGCTTGGCTTTGAAAGAGCAATTCTCACATTTCTACATGGGAGGTACAGCATGAGAAGGCATCTGTTCACATCTTTGGAAATGATGGTTTAATACATGGCAGCCTTTTGCTATAATTATTGACCATTACAATTTGGTGACTTAGTCTAAGCAGATCATCAGAAAATGCTATAAAAACATTTTAGTTTTTAATCTTTTCAAGGATGTGAATAATCCATACGTTATCCTTTGTAGTTCAGGCATGAAAAATAAAGGTGCACCCAGACATTGTAGAACTATTTCAGTGTAATCCAGCCATGATTCAACTCTGTATTGAGAGTGCCCTCTCTTGTTGAAATATAAACTTTAGGTTTTTCTACAGTAGTCTGCTATAGATATGATAGCTAAAAATGATTAAAAGTGTTGATAAAATTAATGGGTTTGGTCTTAGTAAGAATTGGTTCAGCATAAAAAGGCAGGAGCACATGAGTCCATTTCATAAGACTATTTTATTATTTTAAAAATATGTAAATGTTGATAGTAATATTAGATAAATCCTTTCAAAAAGTCTGTTTATCAGTAACAATACAACTGTGACATTTTGTTTCCTACCTCCTCAGCTGTGTGGCTTTATTGCCCCAATAGGGTCTCCCTTAGAATTTTTTCCCTAAGTATTGCCTACTTTGTTGACCCATATCTGTTAGTGAAAGCAGGATGAAGATGGGAGCCTGGACTGCTTGCTTGCAAATCCACAGATCTGTGAAAGATGAAAATGCACAGCCATCAAAATCCTGTTGTGTAACAATACATTTGCAAATCAAAGTTGTGCATGTGGTAGTTGTGCTAACGCCAAGGCAGAAGTGCTATCTCTGAAACTCTTTTCTGAGTGCATTGCACTATCAGTCATGACCGATTGCACAGTTCCATCATGCAATTAGTTCCTTGTTGCTGGGAATAATGCGTGGCATGTTTATGGTGGCACATCTTTATATTATGCCGGCATGAACAGGGTATTGGCCAGTGCCTTCTAGATTTCATGACTGAATGAAACTGTTTCATGATAGAAGTGTAGGGGCAACTTTTTCCCACATTTGACAATTACTTAAAATACCTACTTTGTACTGTAAATGCAACAACCTGACATAATCCTGTTACTTTTTCAAAGCATATTTAGTAACTTTTCAATGTTTGTTTTGATATTTTAAACAGTCTCATATGCCTTGGCAGAAAAATATATGTATCAATCAGTAATGGCTATGAACAGATAACAGCCACATTGACTTTGCCTTCATAAAAATACACATGCAGTATCATGTAAGCGGCATTTCCAACATTTCACACATAATGTGAATGTATTTAGTCCCATCTTGTGAGATTATCCAGTATAATAGTTTTTGGGATGGGAGAATTCAGGTTCTGGGACCATCCCAGGTTGTCACCCTGTTCTCTTCCCTTCCTTGTTGGCTCCCAGCAGCTGGTATTTAGTGCCATATTGCATCTGAATATCTAGATTTGGACAATGGCTTTACCAGGATTGACCAAAATGGCACAGAAGTATATGCTTTTGACTATATCTAACAGACTAAGTGGAATGAAGGAAGCCCTCAAATTAGGCCTAATGTTAATCATGAGAGGTTTGCCGTTTTAGACTCTGTCTCAAAATATAGATTAGAGGCTGGGTGCAGTAGTCATTAGTAGGTACTGTAAGTATCCATTTGCCTTTGTCATTCCAGGACAAAGGCGCAATGGCTGACCCACATTTTTGAAAATACAAAGGTTGACAGGAACTCAAAACCATTATCTTCCTTTGAGAATAATATGCTGGCTCCTGAGTATGCAGGCCAGAGAAATAAATATGACAGTCCTTTTATTAGCTGAACTAGAGATATAATTTGAGGTAAAAACATAAACTGAAATAGAATTGTCACCATTATGTACTACTCCCATTTAGAGAAAATGGAACCCCTAAAATGTTGAGCCCTTCATCAGATAGAAAACCATTTTCCTTTCATTGTAGAATTTACATCTTACATCTTTACAACTTACATCTCAGAGGACCTCTCATGGACTATAAATGCCAACATGCTAATGAAGAAGGCACAGAAGAGGCTGTATTTCCTGAGAATGCTCAGCAAGTTAGGAAAAGAGTGTTTGTGATGACCAGCTTATTCTCTTGACAAAACTCTATTAGCCTTTGTCCTGCTTCGTTCTGAACTCCAAGGCCAAACTTCCCTGTTGTTCCTTTTATCTCTTGGCTCCCTACTTTAGCATTCCAGTCCCCTAGAATGAGAAGAACATCTTTCTTTGGTGTCAGTTCTAGAAGGTGTTGTAAATCTTCATAAAACTGTTCAATTTCAGTCTCCTCAGCAGTGGTGGTTGGTGCATAAACTTGGATTATTGTGATGTTGAAAGGTCTGCCTTGGATTCGTATTGACATCATTCTATCATTTTTGAGATTGTATCCCATTACAGCTTTTCCCACTCGTTTGTTGACTATGAGGGCCACTCCATTCCTTCTACGGGATTCTTGCCCGCAATAGTAGATATGATAATCATCTGAGCTGAATTCACCCATTCCTGTCCACTTTAGTTCACTGATGCCCAGGATGTCGATGTTTATTCAGACTACTACTAGTAGTAGTAGTCTGAATTAGAGATGGGTGGATGTTATGTCCACAGGTGGACATAACGAGGGTCTGACCCCCTGGGGCTGGACTGTCCACTCACCGTCTGCTGGTGCTGTGGGCTCCGTGCTCCCTTCCTATCGCTCCAGGGCACCTGATCTGTGAGCCACTCTTTGACCTGGCAGAGAGGCTTGTCACCATGCTTCCTGCCAGGAGTGGCTAATCGACTATGAGTTCTGGAGTGACAGGAAGGGAGCGCGGAGCCCATGGCAGTAGCAGACAGTGAGTGGACAGTCCGGTCCCCTCATTATGTCCATCTGTGTGGGGGGGTATTCGTATTTGTATAGTCTGAACTAGTGGGTTTATTAAATTCCTGCAACTGGTCTCACATGGTTTCTGTAAGATATTTCTCTCAGTGATCTAGCTGCTATATATAGCTTTAGTTTCAGGCTCTGTTTAATCTTCAGGGACAGCTCTTTGTAGAGGTCTTTGCAGGAATATAACAGGAAAGGTACCGGTGCATGAACTAATGCCCTGGGCTCTCCCTGTCCAGGAAATACCATTGCTGAATTGCAAGAGTTTGAGAATATAAGAGCTTCTGGAAGATGGAGAAGAATTACACTTGCTTCCTGCCTCTTACCCTGTGTGGGCCAGCCGTGACCGGTGGATATCTTGTACAGATACAGTCCCAAAGAGCCTTTAATATTCAAGACTCCTGGATGCTTTTTAATACCAGACATTTTAATGCCCTTTTATGTTGCCGACATTTATCCCTGTGGTTTGGATACAGAGTTGTGCACAGCAAAACTGTTGTGAATTGGATGATTTTCCATGGAGTAGTTGATATAAAAGGAGGGACGTGGTGGCGCTGCGGGCTCAACCACAGAAGCCTGTGCTGCAGGGTCAGAAGACCAGCAGTCATAAGATCGAGTCCACGTGACGGAGTGAGCGCCCATCGCTTGTCTCAGCTCCCGCCAACCTAGCAGTTCGAAAGCATGCAAATGCAAGTAGATAAATAGGGACTACCTCGGTGGGAAGGTAACAGCATTCCGTGTCTAAGTCGCACTGGCCATGGGACCACGGAAGATTGTCTTCGGACAAAAACGCTGGGTCTATGGCTTGGAAATGGCGATGAGCACCGCCCCCCCAGTGTCAAACACGACTGGACAAAAATTTTTACCCAGTTGATATTAAAAAAGGGACGTTGTGGCGCTGCGGTTTAAACCACAGAAACCTCTGTGCTGCAAGGTTGGAAGACCAGCAGTCGTAAGATCGAATCCACGCAACGGAGTGCCGTCCCGTTGCTTGTCTCAGCTCCTGCCAACCTAGCAATTCGAAAGCATGTAAAAATGCGAGTAGATAAATAAGTACCATCTTGGTGGGAAGGTAACGGCGTTTCATGTCTAGTCGCGCTGGCCATGTGATCACGGAAACCGCCTTCAGGCAAACGCTGGCTCTGTGGCTTGGAAACAGGGATGAGCACCGCCCCCTAGAGTCCGACGCAACTGGACTAAATGTCAAGGGGAACCTTTACCTTTACCTAGGGGAGGTGAGGTGTGACAGTTTGCAGGGTTGGGCATGTATTTCCACAGTGTGAGGTGGCCCTGGGGGGGGGATGCATAGAAAAAGAAGAATCAGTGAAGTGCCCTCCTCCTCCAGAACGGAAGTTCCCTTGGTTCTAGTTCCATTGCCTGCAGAAGGAACCATTCCTAGAGATTCTGTTCTGCACTCAGCTCAGTGCTTTAGAGGAACACCTGGGTTGTCTGGTGCATACTGATGTGAGTTTCTTCAGGTTTCTTTTGGGTTTTTTCCCTGTGTATTTGGAACCAACGGCTTTTTCTTTCTTTCCTTTCTCAGTTCACAAAAATGTGCAGGACCAATGGCTTGTCAGAAGATATTGTATGGAACTGCAAGACATTATTGAAAGAGAGGGATGTTGTGCTAAAACTTATGAATAAATGTGAAGAGATTTCAAATAAACTGACCAAGCAGGTGACAAAGATCACTGAAGATGGAGGAGGTGGATGGAACATTGAACAACCTTCCATTCTGAATCAAAGGTTGGCATGATTGTTTTTTTAGTTAATATAGATGTACAACAGAGTCAAAGGCTGAACCAGTTTAAACTCTTGTAGTGCCAAACATAAGTATCAGGATGTCACCAGCAGCTATCTCTTCCAAAAAAAAACCCCCTATAATTTGGTCATTGCTAACGGTTTTTAAAATAAACAAACACTATCCTAGTTTGCTTGTTATTCAAATATGATTCCTAGAAACAGGCACAAACAATCAGAAAAACCAACAAATTGGACTGGTTCATGGTTCGTTTTGCAAATCAGTTCAGTGATCCTGTTTTTCTGAAACAAAACAAAGCATTGATCCGTAGCTCCATTTCTTACCCCATGTTATGGTCTAATAAACTGCAGGTGTTTCATTTGAGTTTCCATAAGAATTAATGGGGTCCTTTCTTTTCTGTTGTCAGCATGGAACTAAAGCCGTATCAGAAGATTGGCTTAAATTGGCTAGCACTTTTGCATAAGCATTCACTAAATGGCATTTTAGCTGATGAAATGGTAAGTTTGGCAGTGATTTGATTTCTTCTCATTGTGATGAAACAGTTTGTAATGGCATGACCTATACTGAGTGAATTGTTTAGGTTTGGCATTAGGGACAGTGGAATAGAAGATGGAAGAGTAGTCCCTTCATTCATGAACATGCTTTTCTGCTACTTAGTAGTGACAGGGTTAAGAGAAAGAAGCCAAAGAACTGTTTTCCAGCAGTCAAATAGGTTTAGTTTCTGGACTTCAAGGTTTAATGAAAAAAGGGATCATACAGGTTATGCTTATAGGTTAGGCCAGCTTAGGCAGAAAAAGGGAAGCTTTAAGTTTCCCTGGTAGTGTTGCAATGGATCTTACATTTCCAGTGTACCTTAATTTGCATGTATAATAGGAGGAAGCATGACCAGTGGAAAACCCTTGGTATTCAGTGTCAGCAGAATCATGCACATCTCTTCCTTTCCCTGTACCAGAATCTGCTTTAGGTGTTTTTCTGCCCTTCAGAGAAGGATTTTAGGACAAATGACTGAAGAACATGGGGGAAATGGTGTATTATTTTTGTTTATTTATATACTTTATTTATATTCTGCCTTACTCCCAGTAGAGGGACTCAAGGTTGCAATTTTCAACTCTGGTGGAACCTTGGAATCCAGAGGCAATCTACTGTTGGATCCATGTCTCTATAACTGAACAACCACTGTTCAAAAAGACTCAGTTAAGTCATACCAAATACAGCATGCGCTGGAGCAGGCCAGTTAACCTACATTTCAAATGGGAAAAGAAATGGAATAATCACTTTGCAGTTGTAGGAAGTAAGGATTGATGAGGTGATGATCCAACTTGGAAGCTACTGTTTTAGCTGGGATTCCAGAATACCAAAGACTGGTGCAAAAAGTGCAATCAGGCATGGTTAGAGTAGTTGCAGTTTCCTGTAAGGACCTATGAATAAGGATAATAGTAATTGTTCCAATGTTTCTAACTCTACTGAATATATAACATGCTTGTAACAAGAAGGAAATCAGTAATGTTAGCATTGTTTTTAAAGTATAAAATTCAAGAAGATATGTCTTCAATATTTCCTTCTAAGCCACACAATCTTAAAAAGCAGAAGTGGCCAGAGTTATTAATATGGTGTTAATTTCCAGTCTCAGACTGCAAAAATAATTGGATTATAAATAACTTAAATTACTGCTTTTTGTTTGTTTGTTTGTTTAGGGTTTAGGAAAAACAATTCAGGCTATTGCATTTCTGGCATATCTTTTCCAAGTGGGTGATATGGGTCCACATTTGATTGTAGTACCAGCATCAACATTAGGTAAGATATTCCATAAACTCTTTCTTTTAAGATGAAGTAATAAACAAACTTATATACAAATATGTGTAGTATAAATTCAGCTGAACAACATTAATGAACCTTAATTGTTAAGATGCTCAATCAGCTTAATAGCTGAGCGGTATGGTATTCTCTATTCAGTTATCCTCTATGCATTCCCCACAAGTGACTCTAATAAAAACAGTATTTTTGATAAGTAGTTCAGTAGAAGGCCAATTTACTCCCTAGAAAAGACCCTGATGTTGGGAAGGTGTGAAGGCAACAGGAGAAGGGGATGACAGAGGACAAGATGGTTGGACAGTGTCATCGAAGTGACCAACATGACTTTGAACAATCTCCGGGAGGCAGTGGAAAACAGGAGGGCCTGGCGTGCTGTGATCTGTGGGGTCATGAAGTGTCGGATATGACTTAACAACTAAACAACAACAATAGAAGACCAATTAGAACTAATATTGATTTGTACATATAATTGTAAATGCCCTCTCTAATGATTTTGAATCATCCTTCTTTTCTTTTATTAAAGATAACTGGATAAGAGAAGTTAACCTGTGGTGTCCTGAACTCCAAGTCTTATTTTATTATGGTAAGAAATTCTGCTTCTTCTTCGTGGCCTCGGTGAAGGCCCACAAATAGGTCTTGTCTGCGCCTGCGCTGACATTCTCGGAATATTCTAGAACTTCTGGTTCAGGATAGAATATTTACCTAAAATATATCCAGTGTATCTTTTTTCCATAATATGATGTTATGATTTGAATTAAAGAAATTTTAAAGAGTTCTGCAGAACTGCAAAGGAAAATCCTGGTTCAAACCTGTATTTCTGCCTAGGATCACAAGATGACAGGAGGCATCTCAGAATGGATATCCATAATAAAGTTGCAGATTTCAACGTGATTGTGACAACGTAAGCATAAGTATTGTGTAAAATGTAGGTTTTTTCCTTACAAGGCACTTCCCCTCCCCACTCCAGCTTTCTCACTTCAAGCATGAAATTGAGCCTTGTTATCTATCAAATTATTCAACATTCTATTATGAAATACAGAATTAGGCTATATACATAGAGGAGTAAGTGTGGCTACCAGCTTTTATTCCATTGATGTATGGTATTTTCTAGGAGTCAGCAATTATCAGTAGCCCACATGGAACAAAGAGGGGAAAAATATTATTACAAGAAGAGAAATACAAGGAGTCCTTGCACGGATATAAAGCTTTTAAACACATGCAGAAGACAATGTTAGATCTTAGAATTGCAGCTACCTAAGTGCTAGATGGAAAGCTTGAAGGTGAAAAATGCATCATTGTGCTATCTTAACTGCCTCTCCTAGACTTTGCAAATGTAAGAATGTACTATATTTATGTATGTGGTTTATGCTCATAATTTACTCTCTCAATAGGTATAATTGTGCAATAAGCAGTCCAGAAGACCGTAGTCTGTTTCGCCGAATGAAGCTTAATTATGCAATCTTTGATGAAGGTCATATGTTAAAAAACATGGGTTCTGTACGCTATCAACACCTGATGACTATTAATGTAAGATTTTTATTGTCTCCTTACACATGGCATTATCATTTAAACATTATTTTATATTTTCACTTTTTGTGAATAATATATTCTACGAATGAAATTGTTCTATGAAGTGTATAGGATATAGTGTGATTCCAGTTTACCCAAGCTACAATCCTCTGCACATTTGCATGGGCTTTTCTACTGAGTAAGCATAACTAGAATTGTGATGTATGCTAGATAATTCAAGTATCCTAAGAAATGTATTTGTCAGATTCTAAAAGCAATTGAGAATGGATTCTAAATATTTTTTGGATTGAAATATATTGGAATTTGAACAACTTCACATTTGGGAAAAATTGTAAATATTATATACAGTACACAGATTTGTAGTCTAAATTGCCTGTTAGCTACTTAGCCATAATTGATGTCAATTTTTAGCTACTGGAATGGTTTCAGCTGTGATGATATAAGAAAGAAGTGCAAACATTATGCACTGATTATCTCACTGTTTCAGCCAATATAGAATTTTTTTCTTTCTTATGGTAAGGAAAATGCGAAAGTATGGAACTGTTTTCATTTTCTACTAGTTTCTCATTACCCCTTACTCTGTATTATTTACCCAAGCTGTTGCACGTACTTGCCCTTATCCAGAGTCTGGAAGGAAGCGATCTGCAACTTTCATTTCCACTTTAAATTACCCATGGTTTATCAGTCCTGATCAGGTTGATCTGGATCTATTAACAGTTTGCTAAATGGCTTGGGAATGTGACAGCTAATTGGTCAAACAATAGTAGCAGCCCACACCTAAAAATAAATACTGTACTTCTTTTTCTTTTACAACAGATCAGGGAACCCTGATGCAGTTTTGCATGTGCCCTATGTAGATCATCTAGTCACTATGACTTGTGGGGCACAGTGACTAGTTCTGTCTTCTAACTAAGAGACAACTGTGATAGACCCTGGGTTCTAGTAACAAATGTGGATTCTACCCATGCTTGTTTTGGGGAAAAGGGGAAGCTTCCTTCATATACTAGTTGCCTTGCTTCCTAAGCGGTCATTGAGACTAAACACACTCTATAGTAGTTTGGGCATTTTAATAAGCTGCAGTTGGTTGGAAGGGAAATGGGAAGCTTATAAGCCCGAGGCTTTGTAATGTAAAATAGTAGTTTAATGTTACATTCAAACAAAGCTGGTATCTTCCTATCTGATGCTGTTCCTTCATTGAATTAGACCAATTATTTTTTTAAAAAGATATGTTACCAGATAAAACATTTCTTGACATTGCTGAGACTGTTGTAGCATCTTGCTGAAGGAAAGACAGTGATTTAATTTTACAATCACTAATTCTTCCCTGTTTATTATGGAAATAGGCAAAAAATCGCCTGTTGCTAACAGGAACTCCAGTGCAAAACAACCTTTTAGAACTTATGTCACTGTTGAATTTTGTGATGCCGCACATGTTCAGTAGCAGCACCAGTGAAATTCGGAGGATATTTTCTTCTAAAGCAGTAAGTTATTTTTAATGCATTATTATGGCTCGGAAACCATACTGTTTAATTTCATGGCAGCTTTTCATTGTGAACATGGATATATCTCTTACATTAAATAAATAATTATAATTGTGCGTTGTTGTCAAAAGGTTCGCCTTTCCCTTCAGGCGGCCCCTCCATATCAGCAGGAAATAATAAAGGTTGAGTCTTTATAACTTTAACAACAGAACTTTTATTGCTTCTTTCACCCTCCAGCACGTTTCTTAACGGTTCCAACGGTTTACAACTTGGCAACAAAGCCTCATCAACATGTTCCAAACATTGAACATAGTCCCAAGGGGTTAACGGCGATGGGTCCCATAGGGTTTCTTGTAGCCCCAGTGAGGGGGTGGGGGGCTCCTCTTGGCACAGATTGTCCCACAGCATTTGTGCCTGATCAACCCCCTTTCATCCGGACCTTCCTCAAACTCTTCCCTCCTCCCACCTTGTTCTTGCCGCTCTTCTCCTTTCCACGGGGCTACGGTCACTTTCCATTCATGGGTTGGTATAGGCGCAGGTGAATACTGGTGAGGTGCGGGATCAGGCAAGAGTCCGCCCACGCGTAGGTTTGGGAAGTCTCTCAATAAACCCTGGGTACGAACTTTCTCAAATGCCTGTCTTTTCTCATCTTACTTTTTCCTCTCATACTCCTCTACCCCTGCACTAAACCACACAACACCCTCTCTCTCCTTCTCCTTGCCTCCAACTGTCACTTCTGGCTCCTCCCACTCCCCTTCAGCCAAGCACACTTCCACCTTT